TTGTGAAATTCAATATAAAAATGTATTCTTTTAATCGTTTTTTTTTTAAAAAAATATCTCTTACATTGACGTAAATAAATGTTTGATGTGGTTGTCGTTTATTTACGTTGCACTAGAGCTGCACAATGGGCTATTGGCGATGGTCTGGGAAACATCCCTGAGGATGATCCGAAGACATGCCATCACAATTTTGATCCTCTGCAGAGGGGATGGCACCCCCGCTTCGGCAGCCTGACGACCTGCGCGCGAAGTCCAGCACTTTACGATAGAACAGTTTAACGAGGACCCATGCCGCACACTCTCGGTCCATTCGTAGACTGATCCAAGTGGTCACCTGCACACTGACCGCGGCCAGTGATGCTGGACTTCGATGTTCTACTTGAAACGGCTTCTTAACGATCAGTCCACTGCGGGACAACCAAATATTTGAATAAATGAATCAAATATTTGAATAAATATTTGAATAATGTCGCAAAAATAGAATTTAAAACCAAATCTCATCATTTTTCCTCACACGGGCTGTTTTCTTCGCGAAAAGTCTTCAATCAGCTTTCTACAAATAATTTTTTATGTCTGAAAATAATATATAAAATTTTATTTTGTCCATTTTGAAGTCATTATTAGGTTAAAAATTAAAAGTTTTTACTTAGTTCAATCGTCAATTACTTAGTTCAATTCATCGGGCAGAACACTCGAAAACTATTAATTCATTTCTAAGACAAATATTTTCTTTAATCGGATATTTTAATTTCGTTTAAAGAAGCTAAAACTAAAAAATATAGTTTAAGGTTAAGTCCCGCATAACACTACATTTCAAAAGTAACTTTTGAGACCAACATCTGCCTGCTGCATCTAACGTGATATCGTTTAAAATATTAAATGCATGCGTAAGTATGGGTTACAAGTATTACATGTATGGGTTTAAAATATGACATGTTACATGCAATCGATAATTACATGTAAGGTATTGCATTACAAATGTACTTTTGATGTCTCATGACTAAAAGTAATTTTGATGACTGAAATAAAATTATAAATGACATTTGCAAGCATTAAAATTAATTTCCTTAATATTTTATTTCGAATTACACAGACATTAGTATTAAAAATAATATCTTTTTAATGAGTCAGATATTGAAGGTATGTTATCTCAACCTTCCTTATCTCTTATTTAACTTCAATTAAACCCTCTGTTTATTGAAAATAATTTTAATTTATTATTTATTTAATTTATATCTTAATTTAAATGCTGAAGGCAAATAATGTTAATATATATATACAATAAAATTAAAATATATAATGCAAGTATTGCGCTTGTAAAAAATATAGAGAAAACATGGAAAATAAAGATTAACGAAAAGAGAAGAAAAATTATCAAAATGAAATAGTTTTAAAAATATTGAACAAAAAATGAAAAAATATATACTAAAAAGCCAGAAAACAAAAAAATGAAAAGATATAATCTCTTCATAAGCTGATGATATGCGCAATAAATAAAACTTATTAATTTTACTTATATTTTACTTTAATTTTACTTAATTTTATTTACCGCAAAGCACTCTTTTTTGCGGATATAATCGTGTGGGCTGATGAAAAGATTATATCTTTTATTTTCTGGATTTTTTGAAAAGTTTCATCGTTTTTTTTTTAATCAGTTGTTTGTTATTTTTTTCATTATTATCCTCCCCCCTTTTGCATATGTCTATTATTTTCCTTTGTTTTATCTTCATTTTGAACTTATCTAATGAGTTCTGTTTACTTGCAGCTTATGCGCAATAAATGAAACTTATTGTTTTTCGTAACTTTCTTTCGTGTTTTCTTGTATTTATTTATTTTGTTGTATATATATATATATATATATAAAATGAAAGAATAAGATATTGACTGATAAAAAAAATAAAAGCAATTTTAAAAAAAAACTTATTTATTTTTAAACATTCAAAAGCAGTGTCATTAAATACTAAATGAACGCTTATAATAATAGCTGATAAAAAATTGTTATTTCTCCCCAGCAGATTAAACTGACAAAAGAATAAAGTGAAAGTATAGGTTATTTACAATATATTTTCATATGTCTATAAAGGGCTTCATGCCATTAACAGTACTTAATAGAAAAGTACATCATGGTAAACACTTGAATGAGTATACTTAATAAAGTTTTAGGAAAGAGGTGTGTGTTACAATGCTTATTGCCATAAACATTGTGTCTCGAAGGGTTCCTTTCCATCCAATCCGATGCTCATTGAAAATGGGTCAAAATTAAAAACATAACAGTAGCAGAGAATACCATTAAGAAGGTATCATTAAAAAAATAATATTACTTCTAAGTATTGTTCAATAAAAGACAAACAATAATTTACACTTAAATTACACAGTCATAACTTTATTTTCTTTCTTCCATTTTGCGCTAACTACATCGACGACATCGACAACAGTTTTTTATGATGCGTTATAATCTACCACAATTATTTTTTATTTGTTTCAGGTACAAATATGTCCGTATTTTACGAAAATATTTCCTCAAATGTTTTGATTTTCATTGCAGTTACAATGATGAAACCTATTCTTACTAAAAATAAGATTTTTATTTAAGAGTATTGTGTGAGATATATACAATCAGTGGCCAAATTATTCGAAGCACTGTCAGATTCTATATAAAATCTTAATTACCAGGTGATACTCTATACAGTTTTATTGTTTTTACAAGACTGAAACAGGTTTGTACTTGTTTAAGCTCCTGAATCAATGGATTAAATTCGACGATATATTATATAAATATGGAATATTTATTATATCAGGTATTATATTATTGTATTAGTTAGATCACATTATGAGATGCACTACAGTTTTTTAAACAATGACATGATTTGCACGAGTTTATATAACAATACTTTTCTATTTAATCATATATGTAATGGGTTTTTATTCTGGAGATTTTTCGTATACCTCCTATTTATATTTATATGTATGAAGTATATCATTACAATGTTAACCAATAGATAAACAAATGCAAACTGCGTAAAAACAATTACAGTTGTATTGTATCACCAGAATAATTAGAATTTTGCATAGACTCTTATAGTGCGTCTACTAATTTGGCCAGGTACTGTAGTACTGACTCCGCCAGGTACTGACTCCGATGATTGCTTCGCAATAACTGTTGACTCCTCTCATTAAACAGTTTTTTCTACGAAAGTTGAAATTATTCACTTGAACGAAAATGAATTCTGTTCGATCACGAGTCCTAACATTTCCCTGGCGATTCTATTAAGTGAACATAAATAATTTTGCTCAGTTTAAAAAAAAAAACATTTGAAATTAAAGGTTCATTCTTGAAACAAATTTGATAACAATCATTTAATATTTTTGCTTATCAAACAGGCAGATATATTGAAATACAATTTGTACATGAAGCAAGATGATTCCTTAACAGTTTTCCAGACGATAACAATGGAAAACTGTGTTAGAACATAACGACGTTTATGTTATAATATAACATAAAAGTCGCGTATATATTTCCATATTATAGTGATGCATTATAATAATACAAAGGTGAATATTTGCGATGAGTTCTTATCATCAAAATTCAAATACGAAAGAAATAATAATTTACACAATTTGTAAAATGTATTGGTTTTTGAAATTTATTTTCACTTGACGTAATTTTTTTTCCTTCAAAACTCATTTTATTTATGTCAGACGTGAAAATATGAATTCTTTTTTTAATTAAGAAACTCGTCGTCATCTTTTGAGTGATGTTTTACGAGGAAATTGAGTTCCTCGTTTTCTCATTAAAATCTATTCTATAAACAACATCATAAAGATAAAAATGTTGTAAAGAAAAACATTTTTAAGATCTACAATATATTCGATATTCATCTCCAGAAATAAATTTTCCAACCGATATATGTCAAAGAATTATTCGATGATAATAAAATTTCTTTGGAAGTTTTGTCAAAGTCTTAAAAGAATCTTAAAAAGTTTGTTTCGTTATTTCAAGCGATAAATAATCTATTGGATTATTTTTAAAATGTGACAAACTTATGGTTTTATGTCAATTAGAACACGAAATAAGTCTTTTTTTTTTTTTAACCTTTTTGGAATTCTTTTTTTATTTCTCAGTCTCAAGTATTTTTCACGTTTTTTTCCCCAGCTTTGAAACAAAATGCCGCCTCAAAAACTAAAACAAGTTACAGTTACAGTGTCTGGCCAAATTATTAGACGCACTAAAAGATTCTCTGTAAAATTTTAATTGTCAGGTGATACTATATTGCTTTCATATATTGTTTTTACGCGGTTTGCACTTGTTTACGTTCGTGTATCAGTGAGTTAACATTGTAATGAAATACGTTAAGAATAAATACAAATAGGGAAGTATAAAAAAAATCTCCTGAATAAAAACCCATTACATGTATGTTTAAATACAAAAGTATTGCAAACAAACTCGTGCAAAACATGCAATTATTAAAAAAACTACAGTGCGTCTAATAATTTAGCCTAAATATCGTAATATGCTAATGTAAATACCTTGTTTAATAAATATTCTATATTTATTTTATATATCGCCTAATTCATCCACTCGTCTAATTTAACCCATTGAACATAAACAAATGCAAACCTGTTTCATTCACGTAAAAACAGTAAAGCTGTTACCTGATAATTAAGATTAAGATTTTACATGGAATCTTAGAGTGAGTCGAATAATTTGGACAGGAACTGTACAATTTGGAATATGTACTGTTTAGAAATTTTGTTCCAAATTGTTTTTAAGATATGGACAGAATTTAAGATTTTAATAAATAATGTTGTAAAAAAATTAATAAGACGAAAAAATAATTAAGATACATTTTAAAAATGCTTATAAAATTTTTTTGATTAAAAACTAATGTGTGTACCTTTTTAATTTGAAACAAATTTTAAAAAAATATATATTTTAAACTACCGAAATTAAAGAGAAAAAAAAGAGACTAAAAGATGTGTTAAAAAAGGGATGGACTTACCGACACATTCGTGTGCCTCGTGTGCTGTAGCTCTTCCCCATGGCCGGTCAAAATGGAACGGTTTACATTTTTCGCAGTCTCGGCCGGCCGTGTTGTGCTTGCAATCGCACACCAGTAAACCCTCTCTGTTGTGGATGCAACGGGACGCGTGACCGTTGCACTTGCATCGTCCTCCCACAGCAAAGTCAGACACGGCGTAAAAGTAAGTGTCTCTCTGGCTCAGGGACTCGTTATCGCTGCCCAGCTCGGCCATCCACCCTACCAGCCTGTTGAAGACCACCTTGATGTCCGTCGCCGTTACCCAGTCCTGCAGCACCGGACTGTTGTCGAAATCGTAGGCCGATGGCCTGCCCTCCAGTGTGCTGAAGGCTATTCGTGCACCGGTGATCGGTGGATCGACGTTGGACTGTGCATCGGTGCAGAGAGCTTCCTGCTCGTTGGCCTTCGTGATGACAGCTCTGTTTTGCCTGTTGTACATTTTCCTGCACTGGCTCGAGTAGAACTGGAAGGGATGCCATGTCTTACCGTAATCCATACTCTTATACAGTGCGAGAGAATCTGGTTTCTGATTGCAGAACTGTAAGCTGATGTAGGTGAGCTCGTACTTCTTCCCCAGGGAGAGGGTGAGGGAGACGTTGTGAAGGGACTGAGAGAAGGGTTCTGACATCCAGCATGTCACGTTGTTCGGATTGTTGAGATCTGTCAGGTAGGCTGTGGGGTGGGCCCGCTTGGAATTGCTGGCGTCGCATATCTGGCAATTCCGGGTCACCTCTCCCTTCTCGTCGGTGGAGGTGGTGCAGTACCGGCTGGCCGGTGTCCCGCACTCGCTGGAGGCTTTCACTTCTTTTCCGAATGCGGCATTCACGAAATCTGGAATGCACCGCCTGGATTCGGACATCTCCTCGTAGCATGGATCTGGGGGAGGGTTTTGTTGAGCCGCGAACATACCCCCCTGGTAACCACTCGTTCGCCGCACCAACTCAACAACTAAAACGAGGAAATAAAACTCCCGAAGCATTTTTATTTTTTTAAACTTCAAATGGAAGATTTTTTTTTTTTTAATTCTCTTTCACTTCTACATTTCTCATTTTATTTCACTCTTTTGTGTCGTAAAAATCAATCTAAATTCACTCAAGATTTTTTACTCGAATAAAATAATATAGTTTTTCTTTTTTCACGCTTATGCCCCGATTAAAAATCACTTCGCACCAGCATTAAAATATTTTTTTTTTCCCAATTGAAAAAAAGGCAAGAAGAAACCTGTTGATATGAAACTCTTTTGAAGAAGGTAAGATGATCGGGGGATGAACTGCTGTCCGCACTTTCCTGGAGACCACTTTATGAAGTGGGGGTGGGGACTGATCTTCGCACCGTCGCGTTGAGCAGCGACCGGTGCGCCATCCCCCTCCTCCCCCAAATCGATCCAAAGCGCACGTGCATTTATTATTTATTTTTTTTTCCTTCTTCCCCCTCACTCACTTTGTCAGCCCAAATCCTTTTCTTAAAATGTTTTTGTTCGAAATTCTTCGAATGCTTTAAAATATATCGAAACCAACAGCTTTGATACGGGTATCGTCTGCTTACTCTTTTATCGTTAGTTAGCAATCGTTTGTTTGGAATCTTTCCTTAATGATATTGCTTGAGAGTACTGATGTAACATATTAATCGCAAAAAATAAACCGAGTCTATTAGAAAAAATTGTTCTAAAAAATTATCTATTAAAAAAAATAGACTTCTTCCGAACAACTGATCGTTCGGGAACTCACAGTAAAAATGAAAACGATAATAGGAAAAACGATCATGGAAGAGCGAAGGAGGATAGACAAAAGAAAGACGCGTGGTGAGTTTTCAAAACAAACCGCGTTCTTCTTCTTAAAAAAAAAAATAAATAAATAAAGAAGAAAAGAAGAAAAAAAAGGTGAGAAGGGGGTTTTATGAAGTCACACCTTCTTTCATCTTTCGTGCCGGAATTGTCTTCTCAGCCTCTGATTGGCTGCTGGGGAACGTGTGTGCTCATTCATCATCGCTCTTTTTTTTTATTACGAGGATGAGAGGGAGGATTGGAAAAAAAAAAAAAAAACAATCTTATCTTAAAATTAAATCGGAAACACGTTATAGGTGACATTTATTTATTATAAAAATTTGCAAAAATCTTTGGACGGCACGTTTTAAAAGCGATACATGAATCATATAATGATTATCAACTCAATTTGAATGTGTAAAATGTCACCCAGACATTATAGTTCAAAGTAAATTTTGAAAATAACAAAAATCCCAATAAATATACATATTTTTAGAGAAATATATTACCGAAAAGTAAACTCTTTAGCGAGCGCTGCAGTTTATTTTTCATCGAAGTTTTCCTTGTAAAAGCAAACAAACGAATGGGGGTAATTTTTTTTCTTCTCTAAAATTAAAACGCTCATTTGAAAGGACATCGCAAAGAACAAAAAGTGATTTATACCAATCTTTAGAATCATTGCAAAAAATTAAATTTTTAATACTTAATACATTTTTAATACTTAATAAACTTAAATTTTTTACTTTAGTTTTAAATAAAAATAATATTGAATGACCCTATATTTTCTACAGATTAAACTGGATTTTTATATGTTATATTATAGCATGTATATTCATTGTATGTTTGATTGATTGAAGGTATTGTTGCACTAAAAATGCACATGATTTCCTTTTTATATTTTCAGAATTCCTGTCCCGCAATATAAATTAGTCACCAAGCAGTATGACTCTCCATGTTGAGGTGTCCATTTTCAAAGTAAAAATACTTTATGACTCCTCATCGCTATAGATAGGGTGATTTTTGAGTTTTAAACGCCTTCACCCGTTTCATAACTGGCCCACTTAAAGTTTTGGCGGGATAATTCTATTTTAACCCGATTCTCCGACTTCGAGAGGCAATGAGTAAAACCAAGATTATTTTATTATTTTGGTCTTGGCGGCCATACCTTTTTGTCAAACATACNAATTCTTAACCTCAAATTATGTATACTTTTCACTCAACTTTTTTTCTACTATTAGGTTTACGACTACCGTTACCGATGTTCTACTCCGTAACCTTTTAATTTTGGTCCCAACCAAGAAGACAATGAAACTCCCTGATCAAGTATTGGGTAAAATTTAACTTCGTGGTGGACTTTTTGATGGAACTAACCCGCATTTGCGTTTTATGGAAAGAGAAACCTCCCATGGTTAGCCTGACCGCGAGGGAACTCCAACACGTAATCCGTCTATCACGAGAATATTTTACGTCAGCACTGTGGTCGGTGAGACCCGGGTGCGGAATTCTTTTTGATAAGTCATCGCTGGGATTCGAACGCGATTCACCTGGTTGGGAGGCGAGCCATTGCTTTTCGCCTGACATATCAGCAGCAGTAATTTCCCCTGGGCCTCGCTTAATTTATATGTTCGTTGTTGTTCTGGAATGACGTCACGAGAATTGTTTTTGCACAATAGTGATTATTTCCAATAGGCTACATCAGTTTTGAAAAAATTGGAAAATTGGTAAAAATTACAAAAAAAATTGCCTTTGATGAGCAAGTGTAATAATTTTTTTATTTTATTTTACAGCCTGATAGAATTAAGATTAAACATTAATGTGAGCTTTTAAATACGACAGTACGAGAATTCATAATAGATAAGAAGAAGAAAAAATCAAAAAATGTATGAGTTTATTTTTTTATTTTTTATTTATTTATTTATTTATTTTATAAATAATTCGCTTGCATGTGTTCTAGAGGAATCACTAAAAATTTTCAAGGAATTTAATTCAGAGTCAAGAAAGTAACGCATAGATTTTGAGCAGTAACACAACAGTTTCAATCACTGGACACCAAAATAATATCCTTTTAAAAGAAACACTGATAAGAGATTTTTTTTCACGTGCCTCCGTCTCACTTATGGGCGATTTTTGCAAAGTGTATTTAAAAGCAAAATACGTTGTATAATAATAAAAATAATAAAAAAAACATCATTAAAAGCAGAAAAAATTCAAATAAAAATTGAAATGAATGTCGAGAGAAAATGTTAAGAGATGTTTGGAAGAAAAATGACTGAAAAAGAATTATGTTTTTAGATCCTCGTTAAGGGGGTAGGGGGTAGATCGCAGCTTTTTGAGGAGACATTTTGTTGTTCATTGCGCATCGAAGGCGATGCAATCGCAAAACACCTTACTTCTAAAATCGCTTTTAAGAATTCGAAAGAAAGAATTTCAGTGGGGATGTTAATCCCCTTTCGACCAAAGGTGCGTGAAAGCACCACTTCAATAACTATTTTTTATTAACACTGCGACGCATATTTTTCACTAATTTTATTTTTCTGCTATTGTCAAGGGTTCTAAAGACATCTATAAAATATTTGCAATTCAATTGGAGTAAACAATTTCTGTTGAGAAATTTCTTAACTACGCTAGTTTCTTAACTTGACACGATTATTGACAAATTCGACTTTTTGAAAATGTATAATTTATCCATTTGAGATGAATCATATGCTTTTTATGATGGATTATAGTTATAAGTTCTGTTCTATCAATAAAATAAAAAATAATTTTTTTTAAAAACAAAAATTAATGTTAAACTAAATGGTTTGTCTATTGATTTGAACAATGATGCATATACGCACCATTTTATTTCTTAAATAAAATATTTTTTCAATAACTTTTTTTTTGTCTCTTAATGAATGCAATTTAAGCTTATTTCAATGAAAATTATTCAACACTTTATAAAATTTCTATGCTTGGCTAAAATGGGCTAATATGTATAAAACATCGAAACTTTGATAACTCTAGATTAGGAATGTCAACAAATGAAACAAAGATTTATTCAAAGATGGAAGATGACTTATTTGTCATTATTGTTTCTTTATCATTACTATTTTCATTATTATTTGTCATTATTATGTCTTTTCTATATTTGTCATTATTATTATCATCTATTACTATTATGTATCCTGTTTATTTTAGATAAAACAGTGAATGTATATTCATTCACCTGCAAATGCACTTTCTTTTAGATATCAATATAAATGCTATAAATTTCAATATTTTTTTTTTCCAAAGGCAGGCACTGAACATTATTCTTTGCCTATACTATGCCAGAATTGTTGCTCATTTCGCGTTACCCAGTGGGCACCTGTGAACCAAAGTCACGGAGGCGAGCAACATTGCCCACGCCACACTGCCACAAACCCGTTTATAGGGTGGGCCACATTTACACTTCATACACACACAACAGAGGACAGCACAGAGAGAGAGAGAAACATCCATGCCCAGAGCGGGATTCGAACCCGCAGCCTATGGCTTCGCAGTCAGGCACGCTAACCGCTCGGCCACCTGGCCGGCTAAATTTCAATATACAGTGAATGATAACCGATGATTAAAGTTTTAAATGAATATATAATTTTAAAGGGTTATCAGCTGTTCGTGGAGAACTTCTTAGTGCAAGATCATTGCAAGTTGCATATAAATTTCAAGAAAACAACATCCAGACTCATTTTATGTGTCAAGCGAATGAAAGTACTGATGAATATAAAGCTCTAATGCTTTACTAATAATCTATATATATATTTCTCTTACACGGCGACAAAACAAGCCTCATTACAATTCCCCGAATGGCAACGCAAGAAAATCGACCCATGATTGCCGTTAAAAATGTCACATGCCAAATCTAGCTGAGGTGGCTCAACATCTAGCGCTTTTAAAAACGGAAACTGAAATAACCAGAGAGAGCATTCTCACCAAAGATGTGATCTCTTCCGAAATTCACCCTATCAGCTGCGGCAATCTCATACTATTAAGCTAGGCAGAAGTGAGTAGTCTTTGTCGATAGATCTCTATTTTAGTATTTTGTCGAAAGCGCTTTAATTCACGAATTTATATATTACGAATTTATATGACGATTTTTGATTTGTATCACGAATTATATAACGAATTACATGCCATTTATTTGAATTCAAATTTAATTTAATGACTTGGTATTTACTAAAAAGATGTA